GTCTCAGATCCAAGACTCCACCAGCAACATGTGTGACTGTGCCAACTATTGCTCAAAAGGCTTTACCCCCTACGACAACCCTCCATATGGACTGTTTTCACAGGTCGGTAGTACATCAACCACATTCCCAGTTTTGAACACAAAAAAGCTTTAAAACCAATTTGGTGGCAAAATCTGACCCACATTCATACAAGACAGCTTATAGTCTTGACTTACCCTACTTGGCAAAAATATACGTGAAGAAACAGTAACCCTCAATATGTAGGTAAACAGATATCCTAACTAACAAAGAGGGCCAAGTATATCTATAGATACACAGATCAAATATTTTTAAACTGCCCTGTCTTATTCAGAATGTAGTGGTGTTACATCATATTCAAATTAAACCAGGCATGCTTAAGAAAAAGCCTAACAAGGAAAAAAGATCCATCAAAAGTAAAATTCTACCTTGCACATAACCTGGGGTAAGATGGAAGATGTGAACCTACTATTACGGATTTTGATTTTACACTTTAGAGATACATAGTTGTCAGTCAACATGTCCCCTAAACACTTATCAATTGCTTTACCTGATTGATGTTCAACCATAGAAAATGTTATTCATTCCAACACTGGAGGAAAATTTTTCAGGCTGTTTGAAACCTATGTATAGATGGTACATCAGCATCTGACATGGCATCTTTTTCTTGGATTTCTAAGGCTAATTTTAACTAGATGTGAATTTGACTAAAGCATTAAAAACCCAAGATGTAACTCAACAGCTAAGCTGTCTAATACAGCAACCCCGAGCGACGCGTGGTGCTAAGCACATCCTCAAATATTTACATTCTAGGCCAGGCTCACGCCTGTAATCCTAGCACTCTGGGAGGCCAAGGCAGGTGGACTGTTTGAGCTCACAAGTTCAAGACCAGCTTGTGTAAAAGCGAGACCCTGTCTCTACTAAAAATAGAAAAACTAAGGCAAGAGGATCACTTGAGCCTGAGTTGGAGGTTGCTGTGAGCTATGACACCATGGCACTCTGCCCAGGATGACAGCTTGTGACTCTGTCTCAAAAAAAAAAAAAAAAAAACCAAAACTGAATAATTCCATTTTTAATCACTAGAGTAACACAAACACAAGGGTCACAAGAAATAGTTATCAGAAATGCTAAAATATGTTTTTTGTAACTTAGGAATACCTATTATTTTAAATATTTAAGGTAGATTCTAAACATTCAACAAATAAAGAGAGTCATCATCATGTTTTGTCTGATTGAAAGTCCATTTTGAGAAGTTTTACAATCATCAGTATGTATAAGAAGGTTTCGTGCCCTATTTTCCTTCACTATGGTTAGAAGATATCCAAGTTTTATGAACCAAACCCATATTATAGTGCAATTAAAAAATAGGTAACTTATTTTTTAACATATACAGATTTTCATTTAACTCTTAAAAGGCAACTTTAGAGTTTATATTAAGTTTAAGAAAAATAAGTCTATCTTACAATAAAATCTATATTAGTAAAAGACAGAAAAAGCACAGTAAGTATCTATTACTCTAAAGTTAAACAAAGTGCACCCTAAGACTTAGCAGTTCCACTCCTGTGCATATACTGGACTCATCAGAAAGAAATGCTTGGATCTACCAAAAAATACAGCCTTATCTGTAGCTATAATACAGTCTGGAAATATACTTAATTTCTAATTACAGAAGATGTATAAAATGTTGGCACAATAAAATAACAGAATACAGATGGTTTGTGAGGAAACGATATACACAGGAAGAACTCTTCCAGACAAAACGTTGATCAACATTCAAATACAAAAGAGTTCACACTGTATGATTCCACTTTTATGAAGTTCAAAAATAGTCAAAACTAATCTACAGTAAAAGATGTCAAAGATTTTTTTCTGTTGGGTGGAGGTAGTATCTACTAGAAAATACACAAAGACAGTCAGCATTTGGGGATAGGGTGTTAGTTACACAGCATATACTTATTTAAAAACTATCGAGCTAGAGAACAAGAGTGTCTATTGATAATATTAAGTTATATTTCAGTAAAGAGGTTTTCTATTAAAAAAAACTTTTCTTTAAAAGGACCTTACACATTATGACTTCCTCTCAAAACAATTATTTAAAACTAAGTTTACAGGAGAATCTGTCTATGTAATCCTTCAACTTAATTTTTAATTTCTTTATAGTGTCTTTTTAATAAAAAAGTAATTAGTCCAACTCTATCGAAACATATTCTTAACTCTGCCATTATATAATAAATCTTTCATAAATGGATAATAATTCATAATGGCTTTGAAAGTATACCATTCCCTTTTATAACTAAACTTGAATGTTTATACCGTCAAATATTTAATTGTAATAGTTCGCTCTTATCTTTAATCTAAAAAGTTAACTCTGAATTCCACAAAATCCAGAGTTTCTGAACACATAATTCTTTTTACTAATAAAATACATAATAAATTTAACTAATAGCTGGGGTTCATTTACAAGTTCTTTTATGGTCCTCATTTGCTTATTTAAATTTCTTACTTACTTTTGCCTTCTCCCCATAACTAACAAGAAATGAAAGAAAATGCTGCTTTAAGAAGTGAATAATCTTAATCATAAAATGGAGTTTCTGTTTTACAAGTTCAATACAATGTGCTGGGGAAATATAAAAGACTATATTCATCCAATCCTGGAAATTCACACTGCTTGACGGCGATTAAGAAAATCTGTAAAACCAACTTTTGTGTTATTCATGTGACTATAGATCATAAATATTCAGTTACTAAAGTAAATATGTATTCGAAGAAGTTGGCCTATTCATCACAACCTTAAAAAAATAGATTATTTTGTTAAATATATTTATATATCCTTTCTTCATCTGTTTCTATTCTGAGCAAGACAGATGGTAAAAGTTTTTAAAAGGGAAAAACACAAGATACAGGAGAGGTATAAAGATGAAGATTAAGAAGGAAATGTTGGCTATGAAGCAAGGGGACTATGTTCACCATCGACTTCAGTCCAATCAGCCTGCAGATGCGCATGGGGTCTGTGGGGTGTACTGGGGTGTGAATGTTTGTGCCCACCCCCCAAATCCATATACTGAAACCTTATCCCCAATGTGAGGGTAACTGGAGGAGGGGCATTTAGATGAGGTGATTAGGTCCTGAAGGCAATGCTCTCAGGAATGAATTTTTTTTTTTTTTTATTGAGACAGAGTCTTACTTTGTTGCTCTGGGTAGAGTGCCATGGCATCATAGCTCACAGTAACCTCAAATTCTTGGGCTCAAGTGGTTCTCTTGCTTCAGCTCCCCCAGGAGCTGGGCCTCAGCTAAGAGATGAGCTCCTGGGGAAGCTGTGAGCATCCTCCACAGCTGTGAGACTTAAACTGTAGTTTATAAGCTACATGTCTACAGTACTTGTTATAGTGCATATAACAAAAAACCTATATATAGGTGCACATGGATTATTATGATAATACATGAGCTTCTTTTTTTTTTTTGAGACAGTGTCTCACTTTGTTGCCCTGGCTAGAGTATAGTGCTGTCTACATAACTCACAGCAACCTCAAACTCCTGGGCTCCAGCTGTTCTCAGCCTCCCATGTAGTTAGGACTGCAGGCACCTACCACCACACCAAGCTAGTTTTTTTTTT